CTAGAGAAATAGTTGCACGCATGTTAAAACGTATGAGGATATGAGAGATCAAGGTCAAATCCCGCTGTAGTCCACGTTAGGGGGTTTGAAAACTTGTTTATTAAAATTGGGAAACCGTGCAGTCTCAGGACTTTATAACAATAGCTATTGTTGCAACGTGAAACAAATCTTCGGCCAAAAGTCTAGTGGTTTTCCACATTTGCTTTCTGTGAGAGACAGAGGCACGCGGAAATTAGCCTTAGCAGTAATAATACGTCGTCTTATGCACGTTCTAGTTATACCACTCAGTACCGGTCCAGCCCCTACATTTCCAAATTCCATCTGCCCACAGGGCCCAAACGGCGCGTGGGGTCTTTTCCTTATTAACATGGTAGTTTTAGCCCTTGTACGGAGCATTTGTTGGGTATGAATTTGCCCTTCCTCCCAAACTGGCCTCATATAATACTCAGAAACACTGCTGGACGCTGATATGACAAGGCAGACAGCCAGTTTTATCATTATGAGAAGATGTATGAAACGAAAAGAAAATGACTATAATGATCATGAAAAAAAAAACCTGTGATGATCATGAGATTTGAAGAACTAGGCTATAGAATTAGCTATGCGAGCATTTGAATGATGAATTCAGATTACGCATATTTATGATTATATAGGTCAAATCCATTGGCTGTCATATTAATTTTATCATTTTTTATGAATATTTACGATTTTTTAACTGAATATGTAGTCGTAATGAGACGAGACTTCCTCTGTATTACTGTAGTCTAGCCTAATTTATTGTTACAGCAGTTTAAATGATTTAAAGCTACAGTTTAATCATATTTAAATCTGATTATGAGGCAAAAAATACAAATTATATTGCTAAATTGGGAGTATTTTTAAGTTACCAGCAATATTTCCTGTACCAGCAGTATTTCTACATCTTACATTACATAGTTCGTTCTATTCCGGCCTTCTTTTTTTTAAGTTCTTCATATTACTTTCATGCTACAAGCATGCGATAATCAGCTTACACAGGGGACACTTACTACCAAGTTATTTCATAATTTGGTTCTCCTTTTGCCCGACTTCTTCAGTTGCTTTGACCAATGCTGCATCGACTGATGGTTCCAGACTTTCGTATCATCTCCGGAAGATATTAAGCTAGAAATGTTGAGATTGATTAAGCTATGAGTAGGAAGCGGCAAAGTAAACAAGTTATTTTTACAATGAAAATAGCACATTTTCTCTATGTGCTGACTTACATTACAGGTTGCGCATCACATTTCGTGTATGGTTGAACGCCTGAAAGATGGCGCAGAAACAGATAACATTCGTATAAATGCAGTGTGCTTCTATGAGAGATATGTCCGAGATGTTGAG